TGAGACAGGGCGGACAGGGTCTGCGACAGGGTCTGCGACAGGGTCTGCGAGAGCGGGTGCGAAAAGGGCGGGGACGCGCGCAGGTTGGACAGCGTCTGCGACACGGCGGTGACGAGGACGGACGGCGACGACGGGCGCGGCGGAGGCTTGGGCGCGAAGCGCGACTGCTGCGTCATGGCGGGGCGGCGATCGCGGGAGAGCGAGCAGCGGCGAGGGAGCGGAGGGACGCGGGACGGCAAGGGTGTCAACAGTCTGCCGGGCGCGGATGACGGTGGGGCGCGCGGGTCTTGATCTTGATTGTCTACCGGAAAGTGTACCAAGGGTAGGTACACTTGGGTATGCGCCGTACGGCCATGCGAATGGCGTGGCTACCCTTGGTAACATGTTACAGTAAACCTTTTACGGTAGACGGCCGCCTCGCGACCTCAAGCGGCGTGCGCCAACGACCGCGCGCCAAGTGGCCCCACACAGCCGCGCGCGAGTTCTCTTGACTGCTCTAACACGTGGCCACGTCCCACACGTGCTCCTCGTATGTCGATACCGAAGCGCCGCATCGCGCTATATCACTCCCGACCTCACCCTGAATTTCATTGCACCTCAAACGCCGCTTCCCCCCCTCTCCCACCCCCGCCGCGACCGAACTCCCGCAGCAAAACCTGCCGCTCGCAATGTCCCGCCGCTTCCTCCGCGCCCTGCTGCGCCCGCTCACTACCTCCGCCGCGCCCTCCGTGGCGCCGGCCCCCGCCGCCTCCACTGCCTCCACCGCCTCCGCGCCGCTGCTCGACTCGTTCGCGCGCCACCACACCTACCTGCGCCTCTCCTTGACCGAGCGGTGCAACCTACGTTGCCGCTACTGCATGCCGTCTGCCGGCGTGCCGCTGACGCCGTCTGCCTCGCTGCTCTCCACGCCCGAGCTGACGCGCCTGGCCTCCCTCTTCCTGGCGCGCGGCGTGGACAAGATCCGTCTGACGGGCGGCGAGCCGCTGCTGCGCCGCGACCTTCCGGAGCTGCTGTCGGCGCTGACGTCGCTGAGCCCGTCGCCGCGCGTGTCGCTCACGACGAACGGGCTGGTGCTGTCGCGCATGCTGCCGGCGCTGCGCGCCGCGGGCCTGTCCGGCGTCAACATCTCGCTGGACACGCTGCACGCGGCCAAGTTTGAGCGCATCGCGCGCCGCAAGGGGCACGCGCGCGTGCTGGCCGCCATCCAGACGGCCGCCGAGGCGGGGCTGGACGCCGTCAAGGTCAACGTCGTCGTCATGAAGGGCGTCAACGACGACGAGCTCCCGGCCTTCGCCGCGCTCACCGAGCACATGCGCGTGGATGTCCGCTTCATCGAGTACATGCCGTTCGACGGTAACCGCTGGTCCGCCGACAAGCTCGTCCCGTACGCGGACATGCTCGACTCCGTCGCCCGTGCCTATGGACGCCTGGAGCGCGCGAGCGACAGCCCGAATGATACTAGTAAGCACTACCGCGTGCCGGGCTTTCTGGGGAGGGTCGGCTTTATTACGAGCATGTCGGACCACTTTTGTGGCACGTGCAACCGCATTCGCGTTACGGCGGACGGCAACTTGAAGGTCTGCTTGTTCGGCAGGGAGGAGGTCTCGCTCAGGGATGCTATGAGGGAGGGCATGGCCGATGATGACCTTTCGGAGCTCATTGATCGCGCCTTGATGAGGAAGCATTGGATGCTGGGTGGAAATAAGGACATGCATGTTCTGGCGAAGCAGCCGAATCGCAGCATGATTCGCATAGGCGGCTGATCTAGCTACTGTTTCTTCTTCTGTTTTCCCCGCGCCTGACGGGAAGCAAGCCCCCGAGCTGCGCGTTGCGCGTCCCCGCTCACGCCCCTGTTGGAACAAACTGTTTCACTTTTTATCATGCCTCTTCTGAAGGCAAAGCCCGCAAGATCGCCTTCACCCTCCTCTTCACGAGGAGCACAGACGGAAGGCGTGCACAATACCGTACAGCTGCCGACGCCGTGTACATAGTGCAAGGACGCCTGAGTTCTGCTGGGCTATTGCCTGCCTTTCGCAAGTCGTCCCGCTGTCTGCTTCGGTCTTTCCGCTGCGGGGGTACCAAAAAAAAAAAAAAAGACCCACTTGAAACTTGACACGCCTCTTGCGACCGGCCGCATAAATTAGACCGCCGCCTGCGCGGCGACATACTCTGCAACCTTGGGTGCCGTATCAATGCCCCATTGCACGCAATCCCCGAACGCGACGCCGCTCGTATAGTTGCCGCCCAAGAAGATGCCGGGGTGCTCCTTGACCGCCTCCTCAGCCTTGCCCATGATATCCCAGTACCCGATATTATACTGCGGAATCGCGCGATCCCACTTCCGCGCCCCGACCACCACGGGCTTAACCTCGCTCCCGTCCTTCATCAAAATCTTCTTGATATCCGCGTCCACCGTGGCCACCACCTCGTCCTCCGTCAGCTCCTTAATCGCGGCGTCCTGCGCGCCGCCGATGTACGACAGCAGCAGCTCCATGCCCTCCGGCGCGCGCCCCGGGAACAGGCAGCTCGACCAGATCGTCCCGAGCGTCCGGATCCCCATGCTGCGCGGGATCAGGTTTCCAAACCCGCTCAGCGGCTCGCGGAACTCGTTCTTCGGGTACGCCAGCGTGATCGACCACACCGTCGGGTAGTTGATCTCCTCGATCGCCTTGATGCCCGGCGCAAGGTCCCCCAGGATCCCAGCCGTCGCGTTCGCCGGCGCCGTGATCGCCACGCTCCGCGCAATCACCGTCTTCGTCCCCTCGGGCGTCTCGTACGTCGCCCGATACCGCCCGTCGCTCTCCTTGCCCAGCGACACCAGCTTCCACGACAACTTGACGCGGTCGCCCAGCCGCTCCGCCACGGCCTGCGGCAGCATGCCCAGCCCCTTGCGGAACGAGCCCAGCGCGCCGCCCTTCCACGTGGGCAGCTCGGGGTCCGGCGGCGGGGCCTCCTTCTTCTTCTGCTGGATGCGAATGATGGCGCCCTCCACAATGCCCTGCGTCATGCCTAGCTCCTGCAGGGCGTAGATCTTCTTGAAGGCGGCCGACATGCTGAGCTTGCTCGGGTCGCCCGCGTACACGCCGGACACGAACGGGTCGATCATCTTCTGGAAGACCTCGGCGCCCAAGTGGCGGGTGATAAAGTCCTTGATGCTCTCCTCCCTCCCCTTGGGCGGGGGCATGACAAAGCCCGCGGCGCCCAGGCCGGCGCGGATGGCGCCGGGCAGCGAGAGCAGGCGGAAGGTGGGGATGTCGTTCGGCGAGAGCGGCAGGGCGAACAGGCGCTGATCCCAGTACACGAAGCGGGGCAGGGTGTGGTCAGCCAGGACGATGTCGTCCCTGAGGCCGAGGTCGACGGCCATGCGGATGATGTGCGGGGCCGGCTGGAAGGTGTTGGGGCCCTCCTCCCACGTGTAGCCGCGCTCGTTGCGCGAGATGACGTTGCCGCCCACGACGGGGCGCGCCTCCGTGAGCAGCAGCGACGTGGCGGGCGAGGCCTGCGACAGCGTAAAGGCCAGCGACGAGCCGGAGATGCCCGAGCCGATTACTAGCGCGTCGACTTCCGACGGGGTGGCGGACGCCGCGGCCGGCGCGGGTGTGGCGCCCTCCGCGACGGCCATGCGCGGCGGCGCGCGGGCGGGGCGCACGGGCAGCGCGCGTGGGGCGGGC